AGCAAGTGTGTTTAGACTCAAAAAAATGTCATCAACCCGTGTGACTGCACAGGATACAAATTTGTCTGCTTCAAATCCAAATAGCACTAATCAAATACAGTATGATTTTGAACAAAAACCATTAAACAAAGTACACAAAACCTACATATTTTAATAATTTCCTTCGTTATGATGCAAGTATCGGTATTTCTAGTTATTTGAAGAGAATTGCCATGTGTGTAGTTAGTCTGTGGTCCGTCTGTATTGTTTTTTGTCTGGTGTCTGTAAATTATAACCGGATGATTTTCTTAATTAATCGATGAGGCAAAAGTTTTGCTTCAGTTTCCAAACTTTATAAGTTATTACTCGGCAGTGAATCAGTGATGGAGGCATTTTCCCCGCAAAAAGAAAAGAACAGGAAAAAAGATGGGGTGTTTAGCACGGCCTGCTACGCTGTGGTTTACTTTGATCAATCTTGAATTCTTGATCAACACTTTGTTCAACCTTAAGTAGGAGGAGATGGACTGGGTAGAGAAGCGCGTAACGTGGCGCGCGCGTGTCCTGCCTACAGGCTGACTCGACGAGTGCAGATCGTACAATCAAATCCGTAGGATAGACGCTTTCAAAAAAGAAAAAAACCGTAGGTTAGACCAGGTCCATCATTTCTCATTCGTTATAGGAAAACTCTTTTTCCTCGGACGACCGTTTACTCTTTGGGCGCATGCAGCAACCTATAAAAGGAAGCAACCAGCGATCTCTCCTCCAACAACAACTTCAAGCAAGGCCATTCATCCATCGTACGTGCGTACGTAGCCCAGCTAGCCCTCTATCTGCAACATTTGCTCCATACCGTACGTACCGCAGGTGTACTCTCAGAGACTCAAAAAGTTACACCAGGAAGATTTCTATGGGGTCGTCGGCGAAGATGACGAAGGCGGTGGTGGTAGCCGTGCTGCTGGTCCAGTGCTGCAACGTGGTCCTCGCGGCGAGGCTGCTCGAGGGAGACCGCGTTTGGCTACACGGCGGCGTTGGCACCGCCGGGGCGCTTATCATGCAGGTCTTGCCCGGCGGCTCTCCGGGAGTGGGAGCACCCAACGGCTGCACCAACAACCCCAACCATCCCCCAGGCGGGGCATGCAACGGCGGGCGCTAAGCCGCCGGCGGAGCTCGACTAGTCAATTAGTGCGTGACGCACGTACATGCGTAGATAGAGGTCGTCTCTCTTTTTCAGGTCTCTTGCTCGTCTGGTTTGGTTGATTCTTTGTTCATTGGTTCCTTCATTCTTTCAAATGTAATTATTTTAGGGCTTCTGCCAAATGATGGAGCGCAAGAAGCAGCTCAAATTTAGTTAGTTTTAGTTCATGAATTTGCAATAAAGTTGTCTCTCACGTAGGTCTCTGTGATCACTAACGAATGTGCATAAAGATCTTTGCATTTCTTTTCATAACCATGAGTGATGAGTGGAAGATTGTTGAATTTCATGTGATTTGTATTTTGGAAGGAGAGAAACAGACTCATTTTCGCCCGATCTGCGAGATAATCCACATTTATTAGTAATCTGTAGTATTATGGGTATGTAGATCTGTATCAGCCTATCAGGGCTTGCATACTGTGGTCATGCAAATATGTAATTATCTCTTTTCTACTTTATAAAATTAACGAGAAGGCAATGCTCCGGCTGGTTTCTTCGTATAATGTTTCTATGCATTGTTTTGTTCATTGATTTTGATATAGCTCATCATTCATGCCGAATGGTAAAAATGTTTCTACTCAGGGGGACTTGAAATGAATATCTATAAGTATATGCGAGAAAGCGTGTTCAGTCGAATTCAAATTGTAGTGTATGTTACATGTCCCCGTAATACTGCGTTGCCTCTGTTTGGTCTTAAAGTCTTGAAGTATTTAAAATAGTTCAAAAGTGCATGCTAGAAAACATTTAATCAAGCGTGCACTAATATCAATCACAATAATCGCATCATGCATGCTGCACTAAGCAGGTGCGTATTTTGAATCCTAGGAATAAACCAGGGTATCAATTCCAGGTGGACTAGCTTGCATGTCAACACATGTCATATGCCAAATAAAGAGTTCAAACTCGGACGGGTCTAACAAGCATGCCAGCTTGACCTTTCCATAGTTGGACCAGACCAATAACAGAACGGTCAAGCTAGGACAGCCGTGGGCACAGCAAAAACAATCTTGGGGACAGTGGTTTTTTTCAATTTAATTATCTATATTCATTCAGTTTGTTTGTATTTTGATTGTTTTGAATTGTTTATGACATATGCCACGTGGTATATTCATTCAGTTCGTTCACGAGCTCCCTATGAGTAGGAGCTTCAAACCGCTCGAATTTGCGGTGGATTTCCAAAATGTTATGACAGGTTAACTAGTCTCTGAAACCCGTTAGCATATAACATATTCTGCTGCGGATTTGTTAGAAATGCACCTCGTGCCAACGTCATAGATAACGTGTCTGGCATGAACGATTTTTAAACTGCAAACTCAAACCAAGTAAACAAAAGGTTTTCAGGTCTCTGCATGCGTGGTAAGCCTGGGTGTAGGTAGAGTGCTCATTCGGGCTGAAAGAAGTTGACTGCGTACATGTTTTGAATAAAAGAAAGAAGATAAAAGTTGAATTGAAAAGTTCATGTCGTCCACGTTGAACTAGAAATACTGTTGGCGCTGGCCGTCCGAGGAATTCAGACACCATGCATGCATGCTTTCTCAGCGACTGAAATTCTACTACGGTAATGGTTGATGTTCAGCTGCCCTCCAGCTAGCGTAGCTTGCTACCAACGACGAGATGTCAAAGAGATGACTTTGAGAAATAGTACGATCGAGTAGTACTTATTTTTCAGCAAGCACTGATTACTGATTGATCGAGGCGCAACAATTTGTGGACCTGATCAACCGCACGCCTAACTGAGAAAATGGAAGCGAAGTCCTCCACATGCCGTGGAATTCTTTCTGAATTGGTTGACCTGCTAATCAATTACAGTCATTTGTTTACTCCAAGTAATTTCTGGTTTCCGATCTACAGTAGTACTCCGGCGCAAAAGGAATCGTACTTTCAGAACTGACTCGGTGCTGCTGGCCAGCCTAGACACACAGAGCTGTACATTACGCTACAGGCATGAGATTCAGTCCTCCAGGTTGACGTCTCAAATCTTTTAGGTTGACAGCTGAACTGACCATGTCTCAGATTTATACTTTTACATGTATGCAGGAACCAAATACACACGTATTCACACTGAAGAAGCCGTACATGTTCCATGTCTTCATCTCCGAAAAGACGGGGCCCCACGAATGGTATAAGCACGGGAATTTTTAACCTTGCCAATTGCCATTTTAAGATTTGAATTACAGGAGTTCCATGTGCTTGTCTCTGCAAGTCGATTCAGATCGATGAATCGCAAGCCGCAGGTTGAACCACTACCGTATCCCAGCAATATGCATGCTAGTATGCTATACTATCGGTTTTAACAAACGAAACAATATCTTCTTTTGTTTGTGGAACAGGGGGTGGCTCATGAATAAGTCGCTTTTTTGTATATAAGGGGCTGTTTGGATGGTGACCAACACTAGCCTTACCAAAAAATTGGTCACGCCCACGATATTTAGCTAGCGTTTGGTCTGGTACCATTTTTGGCTCGCCATCGTCGACTTGGGCGCGCCCGCGTACCGTTTTCGCCAACTCGCGGGCGAAACAGCGGCGCGGAAATCAGCTGCCAAAATATTGGCTGCCAAATCTGGCGCGAGCCAGCCACCGTGATATAAAAGGCACGATTGATTTTTCCCCACCTGTTCGCCACTTTCCCCATCTTTCTTCTTATCTCCACGCACAGAAGCGCTCTCGATCCAATCACCGGGCGGCCGCGTTCTGCGTCGGTGCCAGCTTCTCCGGCGGCCGGCGACCGGCGACGCTGCTCCACCTCTCGCCCTCCTCTCCCAGTCAAGCTACGCTCCAAGGTCAGCCACTGAAATCCCCATCCAACACTACTCCGATCCCCTTTTCTATGGTCTGATTTGTGAGCTCAAATCCCCATCATCCCCTTATGGATGTATGTATTGTACGGAGGTACTACTTGCTAGATCTGAGAATTTCTTGCTGAATCCTCTTCCCTGTTTGCTGGAAGTAAAATTGGAATGGGACTCCCGTGCATGTTGTTGGTTTGCTGCAAGTAAAAACATATGAGACTCTCATCCATATTCTTTGTTTTTTTTGTGGGTGATCCATGTTCTTTATTTGACGCAAGTCAAATCACATGAGAATAATGATGTTAATTAGTTAATTAACCTGGTATGGTTCTGAAAGTAGTATGGTCTGTTCTTCCCTTTTTGTGCCATATGTATGGTCTCTATTTTTAGAACATTAAGGTGGATTTTTTGAAGTTGGATATACATAGTTAACTACTGAGACATGCTTCGATTTTTTGTCCATCAAGGTGTATTTTTTTTACAAGTTGTGCATCCTTGGTACTGGTTAGAAGCAGGTTTGCTTTCTAACATGTATCTTTTAGCAAGTAATCATTTGTAATAATGTACCAAGTTAGCTCATTCATATTTTTGTACATTTCATATTGACCCAGATGGACATGGATCAACAAAGATATTATTATTACAACATGTTGAAGCGGAGAACTCTCTGTGTTATTGTTCTACTCTTGGCCCTCTGGTATAGAAGCAGAGATGGTAGAAAATTTAGAGGTAAAGGCAGGAAGTATGGTCCATTAGTTCAGAGAGACATCTACAGAACCAATGTACTAATTAGGCTCTTTGACACATCGGATGCAACATGCATCAAGCAATTAAGGATGACTTGAGCTGTATTTTACAAGCTATGTAACAGGCTTAGGCAGAAGGAGTTGTTAAGTGACACATTTCATGTTTCGGTAGAGGAACAAGTTGCAATGTTCCTATACATGGTCGGTCAGCATCACACAAATTCATCTGTTGGATTTTGGTTCTGGCGATCTAGTGAAACAGTGAGCAGATATTTCAATATTGTCCTGCGTGCGATGGGGGAGTTAGCACGTGATCTAATTTATATTAGATCGACGGACACACACACAAAAATCACTAGCAGCCCGAACAGATTCTACCCGTACTTTGAGGTAATCCTTAGACCATAGATTTTTTTACTGATTATACAAGATCGGCCTAGCCCAAGCTTGACATGAACTTCCCTTTTTCATATTCGTAGGGATGCATAGGGGCACTAGATGGCACTCATGTTAAGGCTTGTGTTCCTGCTCACATGGTGGACAAATTTAGGGGCCGCAAGTCATATCCCTCCCAAAATGTGCTAGCAGTTGTTGACTTCGACCTTCGGTTCACATATGTTCTAGCTGGTTGGGAGGGCTCTGCCCATGACTCTCTTGTGCTAAAAGATGCCCTCTCACGTCCAATGTGAGGGAACAATTGAAGGATGTAGTGTTTTGATTTTGATGAATTTACGCAACTTATTTTATCATTGTAAGATTGTCTGACTTATTTTAGTATGTAAGCTTCAAGTGTTGCTGAAGATGGGTGTTTGTATGCTGGTCGGGACTATGCTTCTAGTGCATTTGTTTAATCACTTTAAATGGTTTGTGTTGGTGACCTATTTGTAGGTCATGGGGAAGCAAAAGATCACTATAAAGACCGAGGAGGAGTCAAATCCTCGTGAGAAGTACATAACCTGGACTGACGAGGCGACAAGGTTTATGCTTGATTGGTACATTGAGCTTCGTAAGGACAAACCTGCAACTTTCAAGTTCAAGAAACAGCACCACTTGCACTGTGTTGATGCTTTGAATGGCAAGTTTTCTCTTGGTGTCACTCAAACCCAAGTGGACCGACACTACCGGTCATGCAAGGAGAAGTGGGGCTGGGTGCGTCGCGCCATGGCCAATAGTGGCAACGGCTTTGACAGGATTAATTTCACATTCACACTTTCTGAGTCAGAAAAACAAAACCTAAGTGTAAGTTTGTATTACTGTGTTCTCTTGCTTCTATCATAGTCTAATATGAAAATAGGTGGATAGGCTGCTATTGTCCATATATGTGCTTCCTATTCATTGTCCTTTATTGTGATTGCTTAGTATTTTACCATCTTTTTCTTTACCTTATGTGCATAAAACTGCAGTCAATTATCTTACTAGACCCATCAGGTTTTTTAATCAATTGCAAGAGTTATTCTCTGACCAGTCCCATGCTGATGGCTCGCTTGCAACTAACCAAACCACTGTCAATGTGGATGATGATAGTGATGACAGCGAGGAAGTGAGGGAACTTGAGGCCAATCTAATTCCAGTTGACAGTGATGAAGCTGACTCTGACACTATTAATCGTCATAGTCCTAAAGTTGACTTGGAAGGCAATTCTTTAAACAAGAAGCGCAAGCACGTGTCATCTTCACCTTCCAAGAAGCCAACTAAGGGGAAAGCAAACAAGAAGGGCAAGATATCTAATGATGATATGGCAGCCAGTATCAAGAAGCTAGCTGACTCTCTTGCATCTCCTATTGTTTCTGTGCAACCAATGCCACCTACAGATCCATATGCAAACCTTTGGAAGCGGATAAATGCCCTTACCATACCAGCTAAGGATAAACTTGAGATTGTAGCATATCTATCCAAGCCAGATCAAGATATCTTTCGTAGTTACCTCAACTATGCTGATGAAACAATTCTTGGACAGTGGGTCCTTAGCTTCTTCGAGCCTCGGTTTCAAGAAGATGGTGGCAATGGTGGATCTGCAACTGCTAACTGAATGGCCACATGACTAGATAGAGATTGCGGCTTCCTTTTGTTTACCGCTAGGAGCATGGGTAACATACATCATGCATATTTTGTCTATATAGAGCAGGCTGGGTGCATCATATTTTGTTTATATGGAGCAGACTTGGTGCTAGTCTGACTAGTATGACTTACTTGGTCTGGTAAAGACTTGGTTACTATGTGAATTTTATTTAGCCTCCTTGATGATTAATCTGATGTATCGAACAATATGAGTTATCTAATGTATTAGTTGAACCATGTCATTGTCAATTTATGAAATGCATGCTTACAGTTTGTCTCACTGTGTGTTTCTAAATTGAAAATTTGTATTAATGTCATGTGATATATGTGAGGTAGTGTCTGATGCTGATCACTTTTTGGCTGGCATGCATTTTGGAACCAAACCAAACACAGTCCAATCAAGGTTGCCAAATATTTGGCTTCAAACCAAACGCTGGCCAATGGTTTTGCCAAAAAGTTGGCAAGTGCTATGGGCTACAAACCAAACAGCCATAACCTGCCAATTTTTTGGTCTTGCCTTCAAGTTGGCCATGCCAATAATTTGGTAGGGCTAGATGGGGCACAATCCAAACATACCCTAAACATGTTATACTCGCACATGGCAGCAGGGCGCAGTTAACAGGCTTCAAACTATGTCCTCTGAGAGATACTACAAGACAGAGAATCTCAAAACTCTGCTTCATTTATCAACATATCAATGGCCATAAGAGATCTTAACATTGTGTGCCTATATCACAGGATTTTAACCATGGAAAACTGAAAATTATTTGAGGGTACTACTGCACTGTAACTGATAAACCGTCAAAACATGGCCTAGACGGACAAATAGACGCGTCTTGTAACCACTAGAACGCGAGGGGGGGAATAGAAATAAAATTCAGAAGCTGGACACTGAGCAGGATTGTTGGAGAAGAATTACCAGCAAATTTTCAATGGCCAAAATCCTTGAGCCTCCTCTTCAAAACATCCAAGGACCTCGTGCGAGCATTCTGCTTGGTGTTGCGGTTGGAAAGGCTTCCAAACAGCCCGTCTGCCGAGTCCTTGAACTTGTCGACAATGATGGAAACCTTCTTGTAGTCCAGCGATCCATAGTTCTTCCCCCGTATCACCGGATTCATGAAGTTCTCAGGCTGGCTGCTCGACAGAAGGTTGACGAGCTGCCTTATCTCAACCAAGCAATCTCTGAACGTTGTTTCCTTCCCCATGTCTGCCAGCCCGGTGATGTGGAATTTCTCATCAGCAAATGCCTCCAGCATCTTCAGGTCCATGTCGAGGCCTAAAACGGCACTCATCGTTAACCTTTTCACGCCGTCGCTCAGAAGCGTCGTCATTATCGAGTCCGAGATGTGTCCCACTGCACCAGAGACAACCTTGTACAGAGCTTCAAGTGGTAAAATCTCCGAAGCTGTTGATACTAGTGTTTCAAGATAAATAAGAACCTCGTTCATGTAGTCATTGGCATTGTCCGGTGTTTCTTCCACTATCCAGTCGACGTCGTCCAAGAGCACCATAAAATCATCAATCTTGGAATTGGCCATGTTTATTAAGGCATTATATGCTGCGTTCTGCGAGGCTTTTAGCACGGCTCGAGCAGTCAAAGTAGCACGAGACCTCTCAGCGACGCGCTTGGGGATGCCGCACTGTTGGGCACAATGCAAGAGGTACAGATCACAAGCATGCTCCAGAACAGAGATATTTCCTGCTAGTTGCATCATCTGTGACATGGCCAATGAGCGAGCATACATCCTGTTGAGAAGACAGTCGTTCAATACCTCAATCAATAGCCTGTCTAGGTAAGCTTTCACCACTTCATACAGGTTCATGTCACCACCATAAGACAAATAGCTCACAGAATCCTCAACGAAGGACCGGACAATGCGACAAACTTCTGGAACAGAAGAGGAGAATGGCGCCACATATGGAAACTCCGGGATCACCTCACTTGGCTCCAGATGAAATGCTGTGACATTCATGTTGTACTCGTATTCCTTCTTTATAACCATCTGCTCATATGAGTCATTAGCAAGGATGTCATCTACCTGCCTCCGGCACTCAGAAAGAAGCAGTTGGTGGTACTTGTCCCTGCTTCTCGAAAGAATATCGATCAATGGTGTGGTTTGGTAACCATACTTCCTGAGAACTGCAGCCATAAGAGTGATATAATCTTTTATGAGGAGGAGGTGGCTGGCCGTGCCGATGCGAGAAAACTGGCTCTCCAATAGAGATGTCATCTTCGCAACGGCTGTTTCCCATGTTGCTTCGACTTGGCTCTCGGTCAGCAATTTCTCTGCAGTTCGAAAGACGCGTTGTTCAACAATAAAAAACCCAGCTACCTGTGCAAGAAAGGGCTGATGAGACTCGAGGAACGGTTGCGAAGTGGAAATTTGCATATCCAGGCTGAGTTGCATTTGCCTGTTCTTGTAGTAATAATCTCTGAACTTCTCTCCAATACCGAGGCAGACATGGATGTGATGCGTTCGATAAACAGGTGTGAGATCAAAATCTAGTGCTGTTTCCTCATCTGTATTCTCTGCATCCAAGGTATACATGTGCTGATCTGGTCCAGTATGGCCATGCCCTTCAGCCTCTCTCTGCCGCGCACGCATTTCCTCCTCTTTTTGGCGAGCCAAAGAGGCGTGACTTATCGAGACCTGCCCGATCTGCTTGGACATCCTTCTGATATGAACAAGCCAATCATTGAACTCGCCACAGGCTTTCTTCTCGATGTGCAGCTTTATCAGTGGTATCTGTCTCCCAATCACCTTTTTAATAATCTTCACAGGAATGTTTTGCAGGTATCCATGCTCAATCAAATCCAGAGTCTTGAGCGCAGGATGGAACTTAGCTTCTGCGATGTAACTGTTGCACGCCATGCACAGGGTAATGACTTCGACGCAAATCTTCAATATCGTCATGGCCTCTCCTACGTTTTTCTTGACCGAATACAACTCGAGAAGTTTGTCAAGCTTCAACAGCAGGGCGCTTGACGCCTCCTGCAGGTGCGAGTTCTCACCGGACAACATGCTCTTGAGCTCCTCGGCATCAACCATCACACCGCGCAGCTCGTCGACGGCGAGGATGAAATCCTCATAGTGAAGCCTGCATAGCTCTTCGATCTCAACCTCTTTCTTCTTCACGATGCTCCTGAGGCTATGCGTGAGGGCTTCGGGTTTGCCGGAATCAAACCCGTGCCGGATCATGGGACCCAGGTCCTCGCCGTTTGCAATGAACGCGGCAAGGCCCATACCGAGACCTCCATCGCCGCTGTCCACGATCTCTCTCTTCTTTGGCTGGTCAGCCATGATTTAACTGTAAAAAGAGCAGATGTACAGTTTCAGCGCAGTTATGGGAGATGCATCTCTAGAAGTTTGGGAACGGTTAGAAGGAACAAAGAAGTACTCCCTCCGTCCGAAAATACTTGTCAGAGAAATTTTTTTTTTGACCCGGGCCATAACCCCTTTCCATTAAAGATATAACGGAAATACAAAGTTCACCACACAAGACCCAACAAAACGAACTACAACATAAGGAGACTAGAAAGGGGTAAGGCGAGATCAACGCATCACTGGGAAACCCGCTACAAGCACCCGTCATCGAGCAGCTCATCGCGGGGCGAAAACCCAGTGACACCTATCAACACGCAAAACCACTAGACCTAACAGAATCAGGAAAACTCCAGCAGGAGCTAAAACAGTCTCACAGAGTCCACATCACCATGCCCTTGGGGCAAAAGCACTCGCGCAGGAGTAGAGCTTAACAAAACAAGTAAGACGCCTCGACGAAATCTCTTTTAGATGCAGCAGCATCAGTTCGTCGGTGTCGGAGAAATGGATGTATCTAGACATATTTTAGTCCTAGATACATCGACTTTTATCCATTTGTGCGACAAGTAATTCGGGACGGAGGGAGTATATAGGAGTATATGGTATTGGCAGTTTGTAAGGCAGTACATGCATAGGTCAAAACAAAGCAAATTGACGCGGCGATTCATGAGTTTATTTGTAATAATCTTTTCCTGATACAAATGCAGTAGCAAGAGGAAGAACAAGGATCATTCCGTGATTGACGTATCCAAAAAGAAAAAAAAAACGCTAGGGGAATCGCTCAACCAAATTGCTAAACGATCACCGGATGAACACCACCCGTATCATCGGGAATTCAAATCGCTGCAGCAGGCAAATTGCATTGCAGAGAGTAATCTCCATTGGAAAAGGAAACCGGCGGTGAATTTACACTGCACAATACATAGACCGCATGCAGGTGGCCTCTCCCTTGTCTACATCTCTCCTCCCTTCCCCGTCGAAATAATACCGGGGCCTTCCCTCCCCGGCGAGCTCCGTCCCCTCCCTTGCCGGTAGCAGGCGGAGAAGGCGGCGCCGGCGGGGGGCTCAATCCACGCGGGGAGAGGACAGACCGATGGGGCAGCGTCCGTGCATTGTCGAGACGTATGTAGAAGAGAAGGGAGGGAATGCTCACTGAGGCGGGATGGGATCGGCGGCGGCCGGAAGGGACGGGATCGGCGGCGGCGGCCTGCGGTTGATCCCTGAAATGGAACCTCTGGCGAGTCGCGCGGCGCGGCGCGCGCGAGAAGTGCGTGCGGGGAGTGGAACGGGCCAGACAGCCTCGCTCGGGAAAGAAAGAAAGAAAGTGTGCGTGGCCGGAGAATAGAATAGGGCCATCCGTCTATAGCTCCGTTTGGTTTGGTTTGGTTCGGTTGGGTTGGATCCGATGTTGAAGGAGAGAAGTGAGAACCATGCCGGCTGGGGAGTACGATGTGCGTGAGTGAGTGTCTGACTGACTGACTTCCATGCCGGATACTGAAGCGATTTGGTGTCCTTGGGTGCGATCAGGGTCTGTAATATTGTAAAGTGGTACTACAAGAAAAAACAATTATATTTATACTGAGTTTTTTTTTTCAAATGACATTTTATACTGAGTTGGATGAGAGAAGGAAAACGGGTTCTAGATTAA